GGGGGGTTTCTGGTAGTATTAGGTGTGTTTTTTGCATTTGTCTTCTTGAGACGATTGACCACTTGTTTTCAGGGTGTCCAATGTATAGGAAGTTGTTTTCTAAACTATTTTGTAGGGATTCAAGGATTGCTCATACGCATACCATGGAGAGTGAACTGTAATGGTTGCAGCAGAAGTTTGGGACTCCATCAGTCCAGTCACAGGTTGGCAGAGCACTCTAGCATAGTTTGATGAGTCACTTATGGTGTGAAAGTTGTAGCAGAGTTTTTAGTGGCCAATGCAGGGACGGTGATGTTTTGTGCAGAATTGTTCAGGATGAGGTTAAAGGGTTGTTTGGAAGAGATTGTTTTGAGTCCTTTTTTAATTTGCTCAATAGTACTGGTTAAAACAAATTGATATGGTTTTCCCCTAACTAGTAAGGGTGTTGCTAGTGCTGCTTTTTTGATGAAATGAACCAAACCGATTCATAAAAAAATAATATTTTTATACTACAAATATCATTAGAAAATTACGTTTTGGTACCTAAAATTATTCATTATGATATTTTAGTAATTAAACTTTTCAAACTTTACAGATTGTTCCAAATCTTGGATGTCATTTGGATTCATGGATCAATCCACCAATTCATTTGATCCAATCCATTAAATCCAATTCTTTTGATCCATGGACGATGAATCCAATCCATTTGCCACCCGAATTACATAAGTCCCACCAAACAATGTTTTCAGAACCGGACCAGAAGCTGAACTGGAAAAGGTAGTGCTTCATGGTTCAGTGGTTAACCGTTATAAAACCGTTACTGAACCATTTATAGAACCGCTCACACATATAAAATAGTAAAGACACAAAATAGAGACTAATTAAAAATTGAAATTCCATCAAACATAAACAATCAAAATCCTTACTATCCATCACCAAAAATTCTAACAAATAATAAAACTGTCTCGCACAAAATCCAACAAAAATTATATAAAAATAAAGTCATCCTAATCCTAACTAGTAGGGCCACAAGTCCTATCAACATCCATAAACACTCCTACTCGTAAACAATCATTAACTCCACCACCACTGAAGCTTGACGAAATTTGAACTCCAAATGTGTTCATATCAACATTTCCTGCATCAACTCCAGTGGATGCCTCAACTACATAAAATAAAAGTGAAGCTTATAATAAGATATATTACAATTAACATAAAATTATATTAGCTAGAGAAAACTAAAATTAGATATAATGGTCGAATTACCTTCATTCAAATTCATAGCTTGTTCAAGTTCGTTAGCTTCTAGTTCTGTAAATGGATATTCTTCATCCTCAAGTAGAGTCAATATCTATTGGATCATAACTCAAAAGTTTCTTCTTATAAAAGTCCCTGGGAAGAGGAAAGATACAATTCAATTATTCAATTTTTAAAACAAGAATCCTCATAAATAAATAAAAATTAAAACAAGAATATATAAATGTTATACATTTGCTTTAAGAAAGGAAAATCAGTAAATGTACATACCTATGCTTAAGACGCAAGTTATAAGAGATATATACCACAATACTGAGTCTTGCATGGTCCAACATGTTTCTTCGCTTGGTATGAATTCGTTAAAAAACACTCTAGTTTCGCTCACATCCTGAGGAAGCCGCAGTTTGACTAAGCAATCGAATGACTATCTTTTCCAACCTTGGAGTATCAAAGCCATACCATCCCCACCATATAGCTGTGAATTATGCAAGTAAAATTCAATTTGGTTAAATAGTCTTTCACAGTCTAATCAAGCTGCATTCTGAAGGGGAAAAAATCATTGGCCACAATGTCAATATATCATTTGCTCATAACACACTACAAACTGAGCATTATATACGCGTTCCATTGGGACAAGGGATAACAATCCACAAAAATGTGAATTTATAGCAATTCACGTCCAGATCCAACCACCTGTCATAGGGACTTCTTTACTCAATCAACGTGTACATGAAGGATTAAGCTGATGTAAATGTGCAAGTCAAATTCTCAATCTCTATCAAACAAACTAAAGTCATTCATTACTTTCAATTTCTCAATAATAAAGAATGACTAAATAGATTAATATGGATTGTGGTAGCTAGAAATTACCTGGTTGCATAGTTTTTGTAGACTGCAAAGAAGATTCAAGCCCAAAACTTCCTGAGCGGTTCTCATATATTTTGAACTCATCCATCAAAGCTTGAGTTTAGGGACAAATTCTCTTGTTCTCTAGAACATTCAACAGAGCATTATGAAGTTGTCTAGATTTTTCAAACTCAGCAGAATAGAAGAAGGCAGGATTTAAGTAGTATGCAACAATGAACATATCTCGATTCAAATGTCTGTCCCATCTCTCTTCAATAATATCCATGTAAAGCTTACGTTTCTCTCCATCAATACCAACCATCTTCTTAACTGCATTTGTCACCCTAATCATCCCCTCATATACATATCCCAAAGCTGGTTTGTTATCAGAGTCCACAATATGGAGCAGCTTAATGATTGGACCCACCAATTCCACAATAAACACACAATCATCCAAAAACTTCTGTTCCAAAATAGTAGCTTTCACTAATTTTCCAGCCTTTGATTTTGAGAGTTTGTGGTCTCTAAAGAACTCGCTCACCGGCCACCGCCAAAGCTTGCAAATGACCTTGCTGCTCAATCATACTATGAAGAGTGATAAATGTAGTAGCAAAGCGAGTAGCAGCAAGTCTTACAATATCCTTCCATTAAGGCCTTTTCCTCAACCAAGTCAACATAGGAAGATGATTGCACATAAAAATAGTCACTCTAGATGCACGATGAGCAATGTTACCTATTTCACCCAGAGAACAAATATATTTTAGCATCAAATTCAAAGCATGAGCAACACAAGGAGACCAAGCAAATGTTACCATATTTACTAGTTATCTTCCTCCCTGCTACTACCATATTTGCTGCACTATCAGTCACCACATGCACTACATTTTCAGAACCAATCCAATCAATCACATCAGGTTACAACATGGAAATGTTATGAGGATCCTTCACAATATCAGATGCATCAACAGATTTCACAAAGCACATCCTGGTCGGAGAATATATGAAAAAATTAATAAGACTTCTCTGCCTCTGATCAGTCCAACCATCTGACATCAATGTGCATCCAAATTCTTTCCAGTCACTTCTCAATTTTCCAACCAGCAAATCACACTCTTTCTTGCAATCACTCAACAAGTTAACCCTTATATCTTTATAAGAACGTCCTTTGAAACCAGGATTGATGGCAGAAATAGCATCAATCATTGGCTAGAAGTAAGGAGACTGAATTGCATTGAAAGGAATGCATGCATCATAGAACCACTTAGCAATACTAAGATGCGCTCTTAGGGTCATTTCCTTACTAGCCAAGACACTTTTAAGTCCTGGTTGAGAACCAGGAGTTGTTCTTAGAGCAAAGTGTTCATCAATCCTATCAACCAACCTTGAGTCTATGTTTCCAAAAAAAGATCTTTTCGAAGAGGAACGTAGAACAAAAGCTTCAACATCAATAGTTTCTTTTTCACCAGTATGTTGTCCCTCTTCATAATTCTCACTAAATGCTCTTTTTGCTGATGTTTTTTGCTTCTTCTTATCATCAAAGTCCTTCAGATTTTTGCTCATCGTCTCACGGATATCATGAGACACCTTCATGCATTTTTCAATATTTCCACCAACCCAGGCTAAGTGTTCTTTCATTCTATGAATCCCTCCCCTTTGACAATCTTGCCACATTCAAGACAAGTAGACACTTGTTTACCTTCAATCACTTGAAGATTAACATGTACCCAAGCAGGATCATGCTTACAGGTTGGGTTTGAGGAAGGAGCAACATCGGATGGTGGAATTTGAGATGGTTGACTCTCCATCTCCCAATCTGCAAAATCAAAAGGTAAAGTACTTTTATTTAATTTATGTATATTATACTCTCTTATTCTTACTGTACTACATATTCCTTCCTGTTCTTATGGTTTTGAAAGGAATTATTATATTATTTGTCTTTCAATCAATCGTATCACTCGCATGACCATGTTTTAAAGAATCAATCTGTTATAAACGCGCTGCTACGGATCGGGAAATCGCAGGAATCGACAAAGCAAGAATACGAAAGCGAGAATCGAAAACACGACACACGATTTACGTGGTTCACTAACACGATGTGTGTTAGCTACGTCCACGGGCGAGAGAGAGCCAGTTTCACTATATCAAGGAGATTACAGATTACAGAGGAGTATGAGAAGTATTTATAGTACTTCTCCATGTGGCTCTAAACCTAATCCAATATGGAAAAGGAAACGGTTACAGACCAGGCCCAGAACCTGAACCCAAATAACATTGAGCCCATACACCCGATTACCAGTCGTAGCGGCTGATAATCCGATTCAAGTCATATCAACACAATCAATCATATAACACAATAGAAAGGAAACCAAAGCATAGATGAACCCACACACGCAAAGACCAAAGCATATGAGCATAAAAGACAAAAAGCTATTGGGTGATCGGTTAATAGTAATAAAATATTGAAAAGATCACACGCAAAAGCCAAAGCATGTTGGCAGATAAAGCTGAACCGAGAAAGCAGCAGTATAATATTGAAAAAAGAGAGGTTTGGAAGCTTACAGGTGGTCGGCTAAAGCCTGTATGTAAAGAAAAAGCGAAGAACAGTAGGAGTCAGAAAGCTATTGCAGTGTCCAGAGCCAAGAAGAGGAAGTATATTATTAGGGTTATAAGTTTTGGTCGGCGTTGGCTTCGATAGTAGTAATACAATTCCCTTTATTCTTTTTTTCCTTCACATTTTAATGTCATCAACAGCAGACCTTGGGAGATCGATAAAAAACGTTTGACCCGTCAATGGCCACTTTATTATAGAGATCAGACCGCTACTGTCATCGATTGGCGGTTCTCCCTGTCCGATTCACCGGTCCGATTCGATTTTTACAACAAGGCCCCCAAGTCCAAGAATAGAAATCAAGACATACCTGTTGAAGAAAAGTTTGAGCTTCCGTCGAGTAATCAAAAAATTCCCCAATACTCTCCCCGTGGCCTACGGCTGAGGCATCATCTCTGTGATATAAACTAGACAGACGATTGGCGACGGTGTCGAGGACGAAGAGAAATGATTGGCGGCAGGGATCGCCGGTCTTCAGCAAAACGCCTTTTACATGCACCGAGCTCTGGTAATCCCGGCAATATTGGTATCTCTGAATCAATTCAGTTTCTTTTAGGAGGGGAAAGGGCTCAAACTAGTCAATTTTTTGTTGTTGTCAAAATCTTTAATGTTTGCTCAGGATACGAACAATCTGAGAGATGCTTTGAAGTTCTCGGCGCAGATGCTCTCCGAGCTCCGTACTTCCAAGCTTTCTCCTCACAAGTACTATGAACTTTGTGAGTGATCCTTCAAGATCTAGGTTTCTAGACTGAGCTCTTCCTTCCAGTTCGAAGGAGACATAATGAGAAACCCCGTCTGAATTATGATTTTGGCTTTATGTGGCAGACATGCGAGCGTTTGACGAATTGAGGAAACTAGAGATTTTCTTGAAGGAAAAGACGCACCGAGGCTGCTCGATCGTTGAGCTATATGAAATTGTGCAGCATGCTGGTAACATATTGCCTAGATTGTAAGCGCCAACCTCGTCGTTACTATCTTACTATTGCTTAATTAGTTGAGATATGTGTCCTGCTCCATTCAGGGAATGGTTGTGATTGTATGCATTCTGTTCCTCTCTATTAGATCTCTTGCAAGTACTTTATTTTCTGTTATAGCCCCTTGTTTTAGTTAATTGTGATGCTAATCCTCATCTTTTAGTAAGTGACTCTCAATCTTGAATTTTGAATTGATTAAAATGCCACCAGGTTGCAATTTCCCCGCCCTTTTTGTGGAATTTGAATATCTTGAATCTGATCTTGTTCCTAAAGTAAGCACATGTCATTGTGTTGATCCATCTATATGAATTAGTATACTGGCATTTCCAGCTGCTGGTTGAAACTTGGTTCAAGTCTTTAAATTCATTATATATATATATATAAAATGAATTTAAGAGTCATTAGAAAATAGCTTAATAATTACTCGAACCTATTTGCAATTCAAAGACTTGAACCAAGTTTCAATTATATATATATAGTGACTACTTCGGTGCACTAAAAATAATGAGTGCGTTCAATGCACCCAAGTCAAAAACTAGTCTTAAAGTGACGAATTTTGAATTTTAATTTGTAGAATTAGTGTAATATGATGATATAACATATGATAACAACTAATTAGCAGATTACCCTAAGCCCTAGACCTCCAATTTTGATTTCTATCCCTAAACCCTAAATCATAAACCCTAACCCTAAATCTCTAAACTATAAATCCTTCAAATTAACGTAAATCTTTAATGGTTTTTTGTGAAAATTCATGTGCGTTATTGTTCATCACATCATAAGTGATGATTGACATCATTTTGACATAAATCGCATGTTTAAAATGACGGTTATGAAGTGAGTGTACTGAATGCACCCAAAAAAGTGAGTGCACCGAAGACGCTACCATATATATAGGTGATATATATATAATGTATATATATATATATATATATATATATATATATTGATTGATGTGTAAAGCTTTGAAATTTTGAAATCAGCCAACACTATTGCTCTCTTATTTGCTTACATTACTGCTCTCCAAATCGTTTCAGGTATCTCTTATGCACTGTGGGATCTGTATACATAAGGTCCAAAGAAGCTCCTGCCAAGGATGTCCTTAAAGATGTAGTGGAAATGTGTCATGGCATTCAGCACCCTGTACGCGGGCTCTTCTTAAGGAGTTACCGTTCTCAAACCAGTAGGGATAAATTACCTGATATCGGTTCGGAATATGAAGGGTAAGCATATCTGGAGGGTCAGAGAGGCTGTTGAATATTTACTTGGAGATTTCTTTTTTGCCCAAGTTGAGTGAATCCTCCTCTTTTAACCATGTCAAGTTGGTTCATCCTAAGTGCGTCTAGTTATTTTTTAGATGAATAAATAGGTGAACAAAGTGTTCCTCTGGAAGTCTTAAATAGAAAGAAAACCTTGCATGTTAGCTATAGGTACCCCAGATTGTGGATAGAGTTATTAATAGTCAGCTCCAGTACTATCTGATCTTTTGTTGGATTGAGTATTGCTAAATTATTGATGGCCTTTTGAACTCTTTCAGGGATGCAGATACAGCTGTAGATGCTGTTGAGTTCGTGCTCCAAAATTTGACAGAGATGAACAAGCTGTGGGTGCGAATGCAGCATCAGGTTGGTTGAAAAATCTATGACTGCCTGCTCTTATGTTTGACATGCATGAATTGAAATGCTTGCATGTCATCAAGGTAAAATATATCATGAGAGCATGATTTCTGGTCATGCAGGTTAATAGGGAAGATTAATGCAACTTACCCAAACACAAACAAAGATAGAATAGCAATATAATCAACTAGACAAACACATTCATTCATTCAAACCCTAGAATATCCATACATACATAGTAAACCTAAAACTAATGTTTGGGGTTTAAAACTCCTAGTACCTTAGAGGACTACTCTATAAAGAAGGGAAAAAGATACATATTTGAAATTGAAGAAGACTTGAGGTTGACGAAGATGCCTCCTTTCTTCTAGCTCATTTTCCTTCTTCTCTTCTTCTTCTCCTTCCTTCAGCTTCTCTCTCTTCTCTCTCTCTTAAACAAAAGCTCTTCTCTCAAAATAAGCTCTCCTAAAAGGGGGAAAGGGGTCTTCTATTTATAGGCAATCAAGGGACGAAGAATCGCGTCCTGCAGGGCAGATATCGCGGGATCTTCAGTGGCGTGGCCGCGATCTTGCAACGCAATCGTATTGGCCAATGGGATTGAGGAGATCGCGGGCTGACTTCACAGTCGTGATCTTCCTCGCCTTCAAAATACACTATGTCCGGGATTCGATCGGGGAAACTTTTTGTTTCTCCTCAGCTCCTTCTTCGCGAAGTTCGCGCCCTGAGCCCTCCGATTTGCGGTCACGATCTTGGTCTTCTATGCCGCGATCTTCAGCTTGACTTTGCCGTCTATTATCTCGGCCATGATCTTCTCTTCTAGGCCACAATCTTCAGTCTTCTGCCCCGTTGCTATACTTGTGACCTTGTTTTGTACCTAATTCACAAATATCGTCTAACACACGCTTAAATCACATCGAATTCAAATAGGACGAAATAGGGATGCAATTGACGATGTTTAAACACTTATGAACATAAATTGGCATGAACCAAACCTCAATATGAGGGTTTGTTTAGTGCTAATTCATGTGCATAATTATTAGAATAACGTCGAATGCATCCTTATTTTGTTCCTATTTGATTATGATGCGATTTTAGGGTACTTTAGATAATACATGCGAATTAGGTACAAAAAGGGTCACAAGTGTAGCAAAATGGGCAGGAAGTTGATGATCATGACTAACTCATCCAGAATATCACAATAAAAATCTCAATCAAGGTCCAACTATAAACCTTAACCGGGTGCAATATAGGTAAGTATGTTTTAAAAGTCAAAATTGGGATGGTCCAGGTAACCCTACTTCGATTGTTTGAAACATTATTTAGCAAGCGGTTTTTGGTTGAAACTACGATTTAAACTTAAAGCGATTGGAAAAGTAAATGGTGTGAACACTAATGGAGAAGGCTTCACTCGGGTGTTGTTCCCCCTAGATACATATAAAGGTAAGTTAAAACGAATGAAATTGCATGGTAAAGGTGGTTGCTAACCGTAGAGAAGTGCAACAAGTGAATCGGGTTAACTCTCTTGATCAATTGGCTAAGGGACTACAAGTCAAGCTACCTAGGTAACTCTCTTAGCCAACGGTCTAAGGGCTGCCTAGTCTTTAACCTCGAACCTAGGTCCGAACGACTAAATCTCAACCAACACAAGGTGCTTAAACGTAGCAAGAGGTGTGCTCTAATTTTCCCCTGATAGGTGGCTCAATAAGGCCAAGGAAACCCAACTTTTGAAAGCATCTTAGCAAGAAGGGGGTTTCCCTCTACCTAGGTCAAATTGGCAAAGTAGTTGGAAATGGAAAACACAACACAACATCCATGAGAATACCTCAATACTTGCATTCAAACACAACCATACACAAATCATTCAATTCATACAAGTTTTTACATGTTTCTAGCTAGTGTTCACAAACACCCAAGTGAAATAAAGGACTAATCCATGCTAGGTAGAAGGAATACACAAAGCCTTGAAGGTGGAAATTCCCAAAACCTTGAGCTTGGATGAAACCCTATCCTCCTTCCTCTTCCTTGCTCGTCACTTTCTCTCTCTATAAGTGTTGAAGAAGAAGAAGAAGTTATCTCACTATGCTCTCCCCTCTTCTTATTTCAGCTCAACTCTCTTTATATACACAGATCGCAGACTTTTCACGGTCCTAGTTCACGGCTGTGAACATTAGTTGAGGACCGTGATTTCAAGCAAAAGTGCACCGTTTAATTAATGCACTTCACGGTCTAGAGATCGTGAACTAGTCGAGGTCCAGTGAGGTGCACAAAACTCTCTAGAACCATGGTTCTTCACAGTTTGGGCGACATCCGTGAACTCCTGGCTTCCAACGTGATCTGCGGCTGTCCTCCCCTTTTGGCCTGTATTTGCTCCTTTTCGTCCAACTTTCATCCCCGAGGTTGATTTTACCTACTAGAATCTGAAATATAACAAAACAAAGCACAACCTAGCGTAATACCGAGCCCTATTGGGTGAAATCGCTTCAAACATCTAAGAAAAAGGGGTAAATGTGTGCATTTTTACACGAATCAATGACCTGGATAAGGAGATCACGAACGAGAAAGAAGACGACGAAATCAAGGAGAAGATCGCGGCTTGAGAGCACAAGATCGCGAGTGCGAATATGGAGGCTTCATGTGCAAACTTTGTGAAGATGCCAGCCGAGGAGAAACAGAGAGTTTCCCCAATAGTGTCGCGGGCTACGTTTTGTGAACTGCCCACTTGCTAAACAACAAGTTGACTACATAATGACCGAGCCTAAGTAGCTTAGGATACCATGACCCTTAGAATACAACCGAGCCACTTTACTACAACCCTAGCTAGTTTATACTTGGCTAAGTTAGGATTGAATAGAGAGTGTGCATCAACTTATAAATTTAAAGCTCGATCACGCACGAGCAATCAACCGTCCCATCATCAGTCGAGAGTGGCGGTATGTTAGTTCCTGTCGATTTCATTAACACATTTCTTGCTAGCGGATGCCTTACGATGATGTGGCAGGGTAGGCGCCTGAACGCGTAACCATTACGCTCTTTAAAGCCCGAGCCTGCATGATCTTCTAGATGACCAATGGTTGCGGGTTTGCCTTAACTGGCTAGACTGCTCATCCGCTTCAGTGGTCATTTCTCTTTTTCCTTATGTTGGGCTATGCACCAATCCTTCTCCCCTTTTTAACCCCTCCATCTCCTGCTTGAGGATTTCGATTTCCTTATCTTGGTCTTCGATGATCCGGAATAGTTCCTTCTCGGTGATCGAGGCACCTTCTGAGTATGGGTGCCTCGACTCTCTACCTTCTTCCTCTGTTCTGCCAAGCGTCCACTCCCATGCTTCGGGCACCTCCATTTTCTACGTTCTCGGTCTCGTCCCCTATCAGGCACGCCAATTGTTTGAGCCCAAACACCTTGACCTATATTCTTCGTGCTCCCAAGACCTTCCTGTTGTGCAAGGCGCCTCACCTAGACACAAACGCACAGAGGGGGGACGCACATGCGCGTTAATCCTCCGACGATTAAGTTAGTCCGAATTTTAGAGAGAGAAGTGTCAAACTCTAGTTTAGTGAGAGAATTCGATCCGCGTAAATGCTACCTATCGACACTATTTATACTCACCCAACCCTCGACCAGGCTCATTCATTTTCGTCCTACAGCATCGCATTTAATGCTCTGTACCCTCCCACTGCTAGGCAGCCCGACCAACATGACAGCTTTTTTGACGCCTAACAATCGCAAGGCGCCCAGACAGGGACTACTGCATCCCGTACTATTTTGAATCCTTGCGAGTTTTGACGCCATGTGCCTTTCTCCTTCTGCTTGCCCATGACCCAACAAGCCAAACCATTCTCTAGGCTCTCTTGGGCTTCTAATCGAGGCCCGATCTATGTCATGCCCACAGTTATTCTTTTTGGCTCCATTGAGCCTCTGCATTGGCTTTGCTCCATTGAAATACCACTAACATTAACAGTTACACATACGTTTGCATTACATAAGTGAAAAATTACAACAATAAATTACTATAAAAAAATAGATAAAACGACAAATTTCCTAAAAATATAATAAATGCATAATAATGATCAAATATGTTAAGAAAAATAATGATAATTTTTAAACAATATACATATTGGGCAGATTTGAGTTGAATAGCGGGAAAATTATGATCACCCATTACATGTAATATTCGGATTCAGGTTTTACCATATTTATTATAAATCATTCAGGTTCGGATTTTACCTTACCTGATTCGGTCGTATTCGGTTGGGTCATGTCTATGGTTATTTTTGTCATCCCTATTTACTAGCCCAAGCAATTGGTGTTAAAAATGAGTTCCCAATGCTCAAAAGTAGAACAGACCAAATTAAAAATCGTCAGTCCATTTTCATATTTGAAAATGGTATTGTGTTAGAGCATCCACATTAGAATTGCATTTTGAACTGTATTATGATTTGACAATTATTTGCAATTTGATCTCGTCCACGACCACAGTGTTGGTCGCCGGGAAGTCGAGCCTCGAACACCTAGACTCCCTTCTCGTTCTACTCCATGGTATTCAGGTAAGTCTTCATATGCTCAAATTGAACAATGATGGTGTACCAGTCTAGCTGACTCTAGGCTGCCGCCAGATCCATTGCAAGGTATCCAGTGATCTTGGTAATGTAAACTCCTTCATGCAGAGCCATCAATCTCATATTTGAACCATGACGGCAAAGAGTCTACAGGTTGGAACTTCCGAGATGGAGTCGGTTTCCACTCTGCATTCTCCAGATAAGCAGGACATCTCTGGCAGTGAGGTTGCCCTTGCTCCCGCACTTATTGCCAACCGAGCGAGAAATGACATGATGGATTAGCCGGTACTCAGGTCGCACCTTACTCCCTTTAGACAGCTTCACATCCCAAGGTCTGCAATGAGGGATCTTCATGACATTCTCATAAAAGGCATGAGGAAAAGAGAATTCACTCTCTGCCTTCAGTGAGGAGTAGGAGTGATGATCGGTGATGAACTCATGCAGATAGATGTTAAGGACAAAGGTGAACCCCCTCATTGTCATCTCGTGCTTAATTGCTCCTAACCTGAAGCTAATCAGAGGGTTTTCTTCAGAAGCAACACCTTTGATGATCCGAGTGTGAAGGGTACTCAGGAACTCAAGGATAAGAAACCTATAAATCCTCTCACTGATGTCAAACACTCTGAGCCAGACTGGGTCCTAGATCCTGGATCTGATAATATTGTTCAATCCTAACTGGGTAAATAATACCCAGTTAAGGCACTCGCTCTCCCCTGTAGCCACCTCGTGTAATCTCTTACGATATTCCTCAGCGAGAAATGGAATTGCCTGGAGGAAAGGGCGAACAATACGAGGCATCATCATTCTTAGATCTCTCATCTGAGGTCATTGGGGCTGTTGCTCGCCCTCTTCCGGCTGAAGCTCTGGGTCCGAGTGAGTCTAAGTCTCTGATAACACCAAAATTGGTATTATTTACCCTACATATCGAGGTGTGTTTTTTTGCCAATTCATGTGCTTAAATGGTTAAACATCATCAAATAAATACATATTGGGTTCCTATTTGATTTCAATGTGATTTTAGGGTGTATTAGTTGATATGTGTGAATTAGGTACAAAAACAAGGTCATAAGTATAGAGAAGGGGCACGTGTTGAAGATCGTGATCTAGAAGCCAAAGATCACGGCCAGATGATTCGGGCCTAATTGTGCATGTTTTGTCCCTGTTTTCATTTAAGGCGTCGGCCTTGACTTTGAGGCGTCCAGAGCCAAAATGTAAGTTACTAACGCCAATTGACGTCACGCTCGCTAAGACCGTGAACAGGAGCTATTGGCCGTAACCAGTGGAAGCAAAGCGGTGCATTTCGGCGCCCATTTTTCAGTTCACGGACGGGTTTCTGAGTTCACGACCGTGAAATCAGGCCGTGAACTGAGCTCGTTCACTGTTTAAAAGCTGAGCTGAAAGAAATAGAGAGGGGAGAGCCCATTGTGTGAGAAAGCCTTATTTAGATTTTTAGAGAGAGAAAGACGAACCAAAGGAGAAGGAGGCTAGGGTTTTTCTCCAAGGTGGGATTTGGGAAGACTCTCCGCAAGAGAAGTTGTGCACAAGGGTATAGAAGATTGGAAGCCTCCTTTAAGATGGTTTCTACCTCTTCTCCTTGTGTTTCCCCCATTTCTAGCATGAAGTAGATTTCTTTTCACTTGGGTGTTGTGAAACCCTAACTAGCTACCATGTAGTTTCTTTTATGTGAATTGAATGATTGTCATTGGGTATTGTTTAATTCAATGATTGAGGTACTATTCATGTCGATTGTGCATGCTTGTGCTTAACAATCTAAGGGTTGTGCATGGTTTGTGCTTAGCATCCTAAGGATTGTGCATGTTTTGTGCTTAACATCCTTAGGTTTGTGCATGCTTGTGCTTAGCAACCTAAGGATTGTGCATAATTGTGCTTAGCATCC